TACTGTGCCAGTTTGCACCTTAAACTTTACTGCCAGGTGTGGTGGCACACACCTGTAATCCCAGCACTCGGGAGGCTGAGACAGGAGGATTGCTGCAAGTTTGAGGCCAGCCTGGGCTACAGAGAGTTCAGGGCAAGCCTGAACTACAAGTCGAGACCCTACCTCACCCCCCAAAAAACAAACAAACAAAATCCAACTTTATTGTAAGTATGTATTGAAGGTAACAACACAGTATATACAAGCCTGAGTGTTGTCAGTAGTCCACTGGGGTCTAAGACCATACCTGTGTCGGCTTGAAAACCAGAAAGCACCATGTCTTGCTCTGTGTTTGAAGTACTTTCAGTGAATTACAATTTAGGGCTCAGTCCTTGGCTTTAATTTAAAGTCAGTATAATAAAGATACACGGAGCACAATTTTACACTTCTGCCAAACCACTATTGAAGTGACTGATTCTTAGATCTTTATACCTTGAGGATGCTCTTCTATATCTCTTTCATTTTATCAGGGCCATATATACCATCCTGATTTTGTCTCTGTGTTTTGTATTGTCTTGCATTGGCTACCAGGAAGGTCAGAGATTTATTTAATACTTATACACAGTGACTGTGTCACTCCAGCTTCCTGGAAGAACTCTGTCCCTTTTCCTTCTTTCTTCTGATGTCTCTAACTTTATTTGATTGTCCTCCGTGTACTTTTATTATATGCCACGTCATTTTTTAAATGAGAAATAGGATAGGGTATAAATGACTGGTCCACCAAACCACGTATCTTTAGCACTCGGAACAACGTCTGGCTCTTTCAAGGTGCTCAGTAAGTATTTACTGAATGACTGAATGGATGGTCCGGGGAAACAAATTTTACTTTTGTGTAACTAGGAGTGAATGGCCACGAGGGGGCGCTAAGCTCCCACTTCTCTTTGTAAAGGGGACTTCCCATAGGTGGACCCTGCTTGGGGTGATGTGGTATGGAATGGTGTTTTGTGATAATTGGATTCTGTATTTCTGAGATGTGTGAGACTTAGACACCTGAGGAATGTGCATTTGAAGATTCCCAGGTTGTTCCTGTGCAGACACCAGGCGCTGTCATTACCTCCAATGACTGTGCTGAATGTGGTCTTGCTTTCCTGAAGAGTTGGAGGCCAGAGCCAGACAAGAGCCACCAACAGCCACATGAAAAGAAAGCACAGTGCTCACATCTCGTGTTCTGAGCCAAGTGCAAAGATCTTTATTAAAATTCTTGAGATTCAGACAAAGACCCAACATGTTCAGTAGAGTAGAAGTAAGACAGCAAGAAGAGCCAGGCAGGGTGGTGCATGTCTGTAATCCCAGTGTCATGATGGGCTGAGGCAGGAAGACCACAAGTTTGAGCCGAGTTTGGGCAACTGTGTGACTTAGTGAAACCCTGTCCCAAAATTTAAAAAAGAAATTTAAAAAAGGGCTGGGAATGTAGCTCAGTGTGAAGGCCCTGGGTTCAATCCCAGTGCAAAACAAAACCCAAACAACAACCAAAAAAAAAGAAAGAAAAGAAAAGAAAGAACCAACAGTGGGCCGGGGATGTAGCTCAGTGGTGCCGCCACCTGCCTCACAAGCGCAAGGTCCTGAGTTTGATTCCCAGTACCAAAAAACAAAAAAACCAAACCAACGGCAAGTTTAGAAGACCAGGCTGGGAAAGTTGGTGATGGATGTAACTTGTTCCTTACTCTTGGCACTTGGGCATGTGCTCTTTTCTACTGCTTTCCTCTTTCCCAGAGACTCAGAGCCTCCCGGAACTAAGATTTTCTGGTACTTTCTGTTTATCTGGAAACTGGAGCCAAGGGGGCACGGGGCTTTGGACCTACTGACACAGAAAGGTCCCAGTCTCTGGGACAGAGCCCAGAGTCCTCTTTGCTTTGTAGTTTCCCACCATCTGGACAGAAAGCCTTTGGAGAGCTGGCACTTGAGGGTAAAGTACTGGAGACTGGAGTCCAAGTGGGTCCTCCTCAGAGGCTGGGTTTGTCCATCTAGCAACTTCTGTGATTAGGGTGAGCAATATATTTTAACTTTATCTCACAATAAAGAAACTGACAGACATGGACTCCCTGAAGCTGGTAGTCATTAGCCTGTGGCCCAGGAATTTGGGTGGAGGAAAATTACATCTTTATTTTCATTCATCTTTAACTGGAATTTAGCATTTCCTTAAATTATGAACATAAGCAGCACACCATGGTAGACTCAATAGGACCTGTAATTTGGTGCCTAATAGAAATCACAGATATTTTCCTACCACATTCCATGTTGTAGATACAGTATCTCAAAATATTTCTATATCCATCACTACTTAGAAATTATGGTTGCTAGATATTAGATCACTATCAGACCTTACTATTTCATGCATGAACAAACATATATTATTACTATGTTACAATTAGAAATAGATTAGTATAATCAATTACCTTTGTAACCCAATGTATCTAATTTTATGAATTTAAATACATAGACTTCACCAGATACCAAAGATTAAGAAACAGATTAACTTGGCTTGAAGAGAATGATACCTTACAGCTCTATTAATCTCTCATTTGTGGATTTGCTATGGATCATAATATAATGTGGACCATGTTGAAGCCCAGTAAAGGAGGTTAGCTTCTAGAACATAAGAAGGACATCTTATTGCTGTGGGATTCACATAGGTTTGCTAGCAAAACTGGCACTGTAGAAAGAATATTCATTTGATCGTCCACATTATCTTGGTAGAAGGATGTATGCAGAAGCTTTCAGCTTATGCAAACAGAAACAAGACCTGATGCTTAAGGAAGCTCATGAAAACTGTTAAAAATCATAAATAATTGGTAGATTGAAGTTCTGGTGCCACTTTATACTTTCCAAATGGATTACAATCTTTTTGTGTCCGGTACTGGAGGTTGAACCCAGGGTCTTCACCTTGAGCTGTATCCCCAGTACACACACACCCTTTTAAAAATTTTGAGATGGGTCTCACTAAGTTGTCCAGGCTGGGCTTGAATTTCTGATTCTCCTGCCTCACCCTCCCATAGTGCTGGGATTACAGGCATGTGCCACCACACCTGATATGATTTCATTTTTTTTTTCAGTTTTGACATTACTTGTAAAAATAATAGCTAGCAATTAAGAGCATCATTTCTCTAATGCATTTTCAATTAGACTGATGTACAGTCAGTAGTGTCCACATAATGATTTTTCCGTCAACGATAGGCTGCATACAGCACAATGATCCTAGAAGATGATAATGGCTGAAAAATTCCTAGACATCATTCTTGTGTTTGTGGTGATGCCAGTGTAAACACCCCTACTATACTGCCTGTCGGAGAACAGTGTAGCACCTACAATTATGTATAGTTCATAATACTTGATAACAAACAACTGTTACTGGCTTATGCACTTTATTTATTTTTTTTTGGTACCTGGGATTGAACTTGGGACCTTGCGCTTTCGAGGCGGGCGCTGGCACCACTGAGCTAAATCCTCGGCCCCTGCACTTTCTATATTATACTTTTAATCATTATTTTAGAGTGTTTTACTTATTTTAGAAAAGCTTAATGTGAAATTTGTCATGTTACTGTGGCAGCAGTCTCATCCATCTCTTTTTTCAGTACGTGTGAGTGTGTGTGAGTGTGTGTGAGTGTGTGTGTGTGTGTTCTCAGATTTTTGTTTTTGTTTTTGTTTTTGTTTTGGTACCGGGGATTGAACTCCATGTGTTCTCAGATTGAACCCAGGACCTTCTCACTGAACTACATCCCCAGCCCTTTTTTATTTTTTATTTTAAGACAGGTCTTACTAAATTGCCCAGCCTGGGCCTGAACTTGTGACCTTCCTGCCTCAGTGTTCCAGAGTACTGCATCTTTTGATCACACCATTTTCTCTTGTGGTGTTCATCATGGCCCTAGGTGGAGTAGGGTGAGCCACATACACATTGTCTAGGTTTGTGACACTGAGGTTTGTGTCGTTGGGTTGGTGAACTCTATGTTTGCACAATGGTAAAATCAGCTAACGATGCTTTTCTCAGAACTTACCCATCAGTAAGTGCCACACAATTGTATGTTAAACATAGACCTTTGCACTGTGACCAACTGAAGATAAAGAATTCACAATAGGTACATTTTAGGTATACAATATAATGATATTCATCATTGGAAATTTGCACCTTTACATAGTCTCTCTTGGTTCTCATTTTTCACCCTTGCCCAGCCCTCCCTTCAACTCCTCCATTCCTCCCTATTTACAAAGATTTTGTTCCTATTTTTCCATTTTCTCATATTAATTCCATTCTCTTCTTTCCTTTCCCCTACCCCTCCCATTTCCTTCCCCTTTGCCCCTTTTCTTCCTATTTCACATTACCTATTATACATTTTAGCCCTTATTTACACTTTCAGTTTCTCACACCAGAGAAACTATTCGGTATTTATACATGTGTGTCCTGTTTATTTCACTTAAGAGTATGGCCTCAATCTGCATCCACTCATTATACTGTATACCTAAAATGTACCAATGATTGGAATGAATAATCAATAATGCAAAATAGGAAGAAAAGGTCCAAAGGGGTAGGAGTAGTGGGAGGGGCAGGGGAAAGGAAAGAAGGGAAAGGAAAAATGATGAGAAATGGGAAAAATGGAAATAAAGTCTTTGTAAATAGGGAAGGGTGGGGGGGGGTGAAGGGAGGGCTAGGAATGGGGAAAAAATAAGAACCAAGATGCATTATGTAAAGGTACAATTCCCAGTGAGAAATGTAATTGTATTGTATACCTAAAATGTACCAATAAAAGAATTTAACAACAACAACAAAAAAGAATTCACAATAGGAAAATCCAAGTGTGGAACTTCTGAATATAATAAGTCTTATTTAACTAAATTAAAAATCTCACATTGTCACTGCAGCAGGAAATGCAGATTTGTCGATGTAGAAACTTTTGTCTTTTTCTGAAGTAACACTGCAGAGATACTCAAGTCAGGAAAAATGACACTGTGCTTTCTTATCTTTTCTACAGGTATTGAACCAACTGACCTTTTGATTGTCAATCCTGCTGACCTAGAAACACTTTATGGGAAGATTAGCTTTTATAGTCATTCATAACCTTCTTACTGCTATTTGTAAACTTCCTCAGGTTGTGGATTGTTCTGCTTTGCAGGAATTATCTGCTTGGAGCCATGCATACTTTATAACAATCTCTGGCAAAACCTCAGAAAAGAGATATGCTCTTGTCTCAGGCGGATGTCAGAGGCTGTGGCAGAGCCCAGTGAGAACACTCCTCGGGCGCCAGTCCTCCAACAGAGGGACAGGCTCTGGGAGCTGTCTTCTCTGAGGAGTATGACACAGTTAGAGAAGGAAAAAGAGCTCCAAGCAGAGCACAGGCGAGAGTGAAATCAGAGAGGGGCTCTTTGAAGAACGCACGGTTGCAGCTGGACTCTGGTACTCACCTGCCGGCTAGACGCTGAAAGTCTGCCAACTTGGGTCCAAGAAAAGGGACAGGACATGGCCTATGAAGTGAATCTGGATTCCCTCAAGGAGTTAGAGCAGGAGATCATCCTTCAGGTCCTCCACCGAGATCAGGCTGTGCGAAGCATAGAGGAGGAAAGGATACGGTAAGCTGCACTGCTAATGGGTGCAGGGCACTGGGGGCTTGGGGTCCCTGAAGCTGGCCCGGAACCTTGGCTACTTGGTGCTTGCTTGCTTGTTGCTGGTCACTCACTGCTGGACTTCTGACTAAGAAGGCTCTGGGGTAGGCTTATGAGTGGAGATGGCTTTGGTATCGACCTGAACCTGGAAGGTGGTAAGGAAAAAGGGAGGCTGCCCCTATTGCTCATTTCAAATGGTGCCTTTTGTAATGCTGGTTGCCATCTGCTCTTCCATTTGCCTTCTTTATGGAAATAATTCAAGCAACACTTTCAGGCTTCTGGTTCCTCCCCCAAGGAAAAGAACTTGGGTTAAGAGTTTTCCTACATTACTTTTGGTGCCACCTAAAGATACAAAGAAAGCAGCTTAGAATCAGCAGGTCTGATGGAATCCACTGCTGCCTTTTTACTTTGTTCGCTTTTGCTTCCCTGTTGGCTTTGAGGAAAAAGGGAGCACAAAGCACAAACCTGCTTAGCCTGTTCCCCGACTACTTGGTCAATAGTGAGTTTCTTTCTTGTATGTCTCTAAGTTGGACAAGCTGTGTGACATGAATTAACACTTAAGGCTGGTATCAGAGCTGTCCACTGTTAGCTGTCAAGATCCATTTTTACATCCAGTGGTGCTTAGTGCTTATTTATCAGTGTTTACAGAGGATATAAATAAATGGGCTGGGGGTGTAGCTCAGTGGTAAAGTATGTGCTTACTATGTGTAAAGCCCTGAGTTCAATTCCTAGCACCAAAAAAAAAGCAAATGCAATCTGTGGTTTGGTTTGGTTTCTAATGGCAGAACTCTTGCAGAGTCTGCTAAGAAAAATACACAATCTAAAACTTTGTATAAAGCAGGTGTAGTGGTGGCACAACCTGTAAGCCCAGCACTTGGGAGGCTGAGGCAGGAAGATCGCCATAAATTCAAGGCCATCCTGTCTCAAAAATAGATAAATAAATAAAACTTTCTACAACCAAGTGCTTGAGGAACAAGGGAAATTTTCTGATTGACTGGAAGGTACAATACCCTTTTTATCCTCCCTTGTTATTTCAGAGCTCTCAAAGTGTACTAGTAAACTTTCTCCCATTAGAAACTATAACTCATTGACAAAAATGCAATTTTCTCTGATGATTCAAGATCTTTCAGTGATTTGAAGCTATCGTTTTGGATATTATTAATATAACATGGATACTAGGGTAAGGGAGGTTTGTTTCAAAAGGTCCTGTTTCTAGGGAAAATATTGAAAGTTGAATTTTAAACTCGTGTTCTGATGTAATCTTTTCCTTGGGATTGGCTTATCTCTTCTAAAAGTAGGTAATGGAGACACTGCATTTAAGAGTGCTGTGGATATTGACACCTTTAGGGCCCAGTACAATGTTGCATTGCACTACGGCCACTGTCTAGCCTAGAGGAGTTAGGGGCTAGAAGGCCACTGGCCACCCATTAAAGAAGAAAAAGTAGCAAAAGCAAAGCATCAGTTAAATAATTTTATTGGGTAACTTATCACAATAGTAGGAAATGTGCTATACTGTGTGTTTATAGATCTTCCCATGCCTTGCATATTTAAAAAGATGTCTTTTATTGTGTGTTGTGTATTGTGTATGGGTGAGTGGTATTTGGCAATTGAGCCCAGGGCCTTTACACTGAGCTGCATCCCCACCTCTTTGTTGTTGTTGTTGTTGTTGTTGTTATTATTATTATTATTATTATTATTTTAAAGTTTGAGACAGGGTCTCCCTAAGTTGCCCAGGCGGGGCTTGAACTTACAATCCTCCTGCCTCTGCCTTCTGGAATGCTGGGATTATAGGCACGTGTTAGTATGCTCAGCTGGATGCCCTTTCTTGTGTCCTTCCCTCTTCTTTCACTCTTCTTGAGCACAGAAGGATCTGGGCCAGGGACATTGCTTTTGCTTTGCTGTGTTATCCTCTTGGCCACCTGAGAGGTAAGCTGGTTTCCTGCTTCACAATTGAGAAGCCCTGGAGCCCTAGCTCACACAGCCAGAACCCAGAGCTGGAACCCAGAGATGTCAATGCCCAAAGGCCCTTCCCTCACCATGCAATTTAGTTGAAGCTCTCTGTCCCCTGTGGTCTGGCCACTGCTGTTCCAGCCAGTGGTTTCTTATTTGATTCCGTGGCTGCAGGAGACTGAAGACACAGCTGCAGCATCTCTGGTGGAGAGGAGTGAAGGGCTCCAGCTGCGAGTACAAGGACAAGTGCTGTGCGCGCTGCCAGCGGACACTGGGGCGGCTGCTGAACCGGGGTGCCGTGTGCCAGGGCTGCAGCCACCGTGTGTGCTCCAAGTGCCGCGTGTTCCTGCACAGGACCTGTACCTGGAGGTGCACCATGTGCTTCGAGGACAGGTGAGCACTACTGGGCTCGGGTTCCTCCACTGAGTCAGGTGGCCAAGGGGGTCCCAGAGAGACCCTGGATGGAGAGCATTCGCTCCTCACTCCGACCTGCAGATGCCTCCAGGGTGCCAGAGGCAGAGCACCCTCTGATTTGAAAATGATTCCATTATATAGAAAGTGTTTTAGCTTACAGAAGTTTGTAATGGCTAATGATGAACTAACCCAGAAGCTTAAGATTCGTTTAAATTTATTAACAAGCGCCTTAGTCTCTTTAGAGCTTATTTTCTCTCCTTTGGAAAAAGTGGGGTTCATGATGATGTGGGAAACATTAGAGGGAGTCTGTGCAGCTTTCAGTGAGGGCTTTGTTTTGTGTTTTGGCAATCCTGGGTCCTAAGGTCCCTCACACTGAGCTACATCCCAGCCCTCCCCTCCTTTTATTATTTTTTTTATTTTGAGACAGGACCTCACTAAGTCAGTAAGTTGCCCAGGCTGGGCCAGAACTTGTGATCATCCTGCCTCAGCCTCCCAGGATGCTGGGATTACAGCTCTGCATCACCATGCCTGGCCAGTGAGGGCTTTTTGAATGCAGTCTTTCTGAAAGAGGCAAACTTCAGGCAATTTCGTAGTCAGATAGGGAAATGGATTTGCTCCCTGTTGATGGTACAGTAAATCTACCTTTATTTTACCTTTTGATGGAGAGTTTTTAAAGAACTTCAGACACAGAATCAGTGTTTTTTAACTAATTTGAAAATGATAAAGATAACATATCTGACTCGGACTTTCATCGTTCAAAGCAGAAACTGGCTGGCTGTGGAGTCCTTGAAAATGCAAGATGGGTTTCTGTTGGCCGGGGGAACGGTGTGCACCAGGGCATCACAGATCTTGCGGGAAGGAACAAATGTGAGGCAGGTGTGAACCTAGGTAGTAATCAGACCCTGAGACCTGAAAACAACTTCTCAATATTGCTGCAGATGTGCGAGCAGCCAGGCTGTGTCTGCAGCAGGGGTCAGGTGGCTGGGCCTTCCTCCTAACCCAGGAGGATCATCTTTACTGGATATCCAGACATTAATCTACTTAATTTCCTGTTCCTTTGCAAAGCTTACTGTATTTCAGTCGCTCAGCCCAAGAGAAGTGGTTCAACCTGATTTCTTCTCTCTTGAACTGTGTGCCTCCCTTTCTGTAGCAGCTGGCCACATTAAACTCACTTGAACCAGCTACCCTGTTTCTTCAGTTTGCTAGAATGGATGTCTTTCAGGTGTTTCTTAGCTTGGGAGCAAAAATCAAAGCAGGACTGTGAGCTGCCCTGGCCGGAGAGGTATGAGGCTGGCCCAGGCTCTCCGGAGAGCAGATGATGATTCCAAACACTCCTAGAAAGGTCTGTCTCTTATCTATCCCCATTAAGTCAACCACATACATTTGAAGTTTTTTGACAAACCTCACCTGGGAAGATGTTACATTCTGCAGCAGTTTGTCCTCTAATAGTTAACTAGAAACTAAAAATCCAAACAGGAGGACAGGGGTTGAGGCAATCTCCCAAGAAGCTGACCGTGTTGAAATCTCCAGGGCATGGTGCCCGGGCACTGTAACTTGACCCTCAAAGTACATAAAGTGGTATTATTTCTAGAACCCCAGCTTCCTTATTCTGAAAATGTTTTTTCAAAACACCTAAAGTAATTGCATTAACCTGACTGAATTAACCCAGGAAGTTGTGTGGGGAGAGAGCTAAGTGAGAATAACACATGCTTACTCTCCCTTCACCCTCCCGCCCTTTCTTCGCAGCCCTTGTCATCTCTGGGCTACCATCCTACTTCAGGACCCAAATAAAGATGAAGCCTTGTAAAATCTAGACATTCCTCACTATCCCACATCCTGGGACCTGGGAAAGGGTTTTAACCCCACTCATTTTTCTCCTCTTGCTTCTCCCTCAGCTTGAGGCACCTCCCTCAGGAAGAAGTGGTTATGGGAACAGGGGAATGGATTCTTAAAACCAGGACAAGCAGACCTATAGGGTAGCAATTAAAAATACTAACAGGTCCACTTTCAGACTGCTGCAGAGGAAAAGGCCTGCGGAATGTGGCAGCTTGGGCTGTGTAGAAGGCCCAGGAAAGGTTCTGCCTTCAGGAAAAGCTTTCCCTTAGAGAAATACCAAATCCTGGGCTAAGGGCGCTGGTACTCAGGAAGGAGACCAGGAGGTGGAATTGACTCAAGGTGACTTGAGTCAACTCAGCCAACCCTTCTGTGGTTGGAATATTTCTTTAAGCTTTATTTGAATATTCAAACATTCCTAAAGGGTAGCTACTACTGCCATCCTCATTTTACAGACAGCAAGTGGAGGCTGAGATATGCAATAGTGAAGGAGAGCCCAGCCTCAGCCAGGCCCCTCTTAATCCCTACCCGGCCTGCCCTCAGGGGGAATCCCACAGAGGGCAGAGTCTTAAAAGCCACTCAGAAGCATCTGTGTGCATCCTAGGGAGCGGGACCTGGAGGGCAAACACGTGCTCTTTGCTCCATGACAGCCATCCCAGAAGTCTACTGTAGTCTGGCTGGTGGACTTGGGAGGCAGAAGAGGAAGATGAAGCAGCAGTGAGAACATTGCTGCACAGATGAAGATGCTGGGTGAGGATGCTGGGGCAGTCATGATGGGGAGTGTGACAGGTGGTCCCAAAAGGCGGACGGAACTTGTCTTGAAGGCAGAGGGAAGAGTGAAAAATTATCAGGCCTGGCAAATAGATGGCTTTGCATGTGGGACTGGATTGTAGGTGTCAGAAAACTGAAGGATTCAGAGAAGCAATGGAAAGAACTCAGTAAACAGAGACCAGGTGGAAAGACTTGGAGGAAGAAAGTTGGTGGAGAGCTGCTTTCTGCAGTGAGGAGGCAGGTGTGGTCTTCAGGAGCGAACCAGAAAAGAGCGATTTCAACAAGAAGGGGTGGCTTCCAATCAGAGGAGCTGCTTGGGGAAAAGCAAGAAGAGCAAGAAGCATTACGGTAACTTCTCCATGCTTTTTGATTGACTTTTCCCCCGTGAAATTTTTGACAGTTTCTGTGGTGAAACGGCCCATGGTAAGCAACAACTGTGCTCAAATGTCAAGGAGATTAAGCTTTGTATTTACTTGTTTGTTTTAGCTTCATTAAGGAAATTGAGTTTGAGAGCTTAGGTCTGCATGGATTTTTTCCCTTTAAAATAATATACCATGCAGTGTCTTCAAATTCCACAAGAAACTTGTTCATACCTTTAAAGCAGATTGTCCAGGAACTCTTGTTGGAGACTGTCTTCCTTTAATATTGGATGCAAAGTCTCTTGCTTTGTAATTGACTATGACCACACAAATCATATACTCTTCAGATATTTGTGGGTACTCTCCCTCTGTTTCACTAGGAATGTTTTTTGTTGGTGGGTTTTGTTGTTGTTCGTTTGTTTTTGAAACCCAGGGCCTCAGATATGCTAGGCAAATACTCTACCAGTGAGCTAAGCTTCCAGCCCGAGAGTTTTTCTTTTTTTGTTAGAGACATTGTTGGTAGTGAGGATGGCTTGGACTGAATGGGTTCAAAACCTGATGCTTGGGAAAATCTGCAAGTTGGCAAATATTTTAACAAAAAGTGTGCAGCAGAATTTAGAACAGAGATGTTTAGACTGAAAGTTTCCAGTTTGCAGCAGGTGTTACCCCTGATTTCAGGGAACAGTATTCTCTTGGGCTGCACAACGGTCTCTATCACACCTGCTGCTAGTAGAGAGAAGCTGAAAATTGACCCAGACCTTGGCATTTTATTTTCACACTGTTGGTTCTCAGACTGAATCTTGAATTATTGCTGCAAAGCAGCAATGGCTAACATAAGATTTGGGAGTTTATAAAAAGGATTTTCTTTGGTTCAAATACTTTTTAGATTTGGATGTAAGTGTATTGTTACCAAATGATGCATTATATTTTCTACATATCACAAGGTAATTTTTACTGAAAAACAGTGCTGTGTCAGCAAAGGTTTTATAACAATTATGTTTCCTGCTTAAAACTTCCCAGAGTTTAGAAAACGCAATCCTATAAATTTATATAAATACACTCTAGTATTTTCACAGTCCCATATTTTATAAGATACTGAATCACCACTTTAAATCCATAAATGTAGGTAACTAATCTATGAGAATGGAATGGTGCACACTCATTGCAGATTTCCTCTATTCAAGTGAGTAAAAGGCCAAACTCGCTGAAAAATGGAAAAGAAGTTGAGTGCCAGATGGAGCGTTAGACATTTGCCCAAGGAGGATTTTAGTGGTGCTGAAGTTAAAATGAGATTCCTGCACTGTCTGTTTTTGGTTTCAGACCTGATTTCTTTTTTTTTTTTTTTTTCTCTAAATTTGAATGTTTACCATTACTGATAGAAATTGCTTATAGATTTTGGTTTTGCTTTTGTGAGGTGCTGGGGATCAAATGCAGAGCTTCCTGCATGCTAGACAAGTGCTGTACCACTGAGCCATACCCCAGCCCCCGTGTGTTTAGCGTGAAAAGCTTTATATAGATGAGTTAAATTTTGTGAAATATTTCACAGTCATACCTTTACAGATTTTCAAGAGATTAGCACTAAGATGAATTTCACCAAGGAAAAGCCTTTTCTTCTTTGATAAATGGTTTGAATTAGCAATGGCATCTATTTTAGTACATTCATCACTTCTTGGCCTTTTGGCTAAGATCAAGTGTGTATTAGTACTTTCAATGGTACTTGGCTGTTTCACATGGAGTTCATACAGTGTTTTCTGTAGGAATGGGATAGATGATAATTATACATAAGACATAACATTCTTTTTGTCTGTGTATCAAGTGGAATCAATGGTTATAAATATCATTCAAAACAGAGTAAAAACATGGAAATTTATGGAGCCCTTTTGAGGAAAAAAGCTTATTTTTTGCTTCTAATGAGCACGCTTTCACTCTATTGTGTGTCGCTTTTGTTGAAAGTTGGATTCATCCTGAGGCCAGCACTTGATTAATCATGGCAAATCCTGTCTTTTAAAGCTTTTT